TGTTTGGTATTTAAAAACACACAAATGAAACCAAACCAAAGAAACAAAAGCAAATAACCTCCAACAACCATCCCCTCAAGCCAAGAAGGATGGACTAAAACAACCTCTTATTTTTCACTGTTTTGCATTGCCCATTGCTGTTGTTTCATTTTGGAGTGAACCAGGAGTTCCCCTACCAGGAGGTAAATTGGACCTCTACGTAACAAGTTTCTCACATGTACTGCTTTGGTGTGTGATGGATCCTCTGGCATAGAAAGCTGAGATGTGCAATGGCTGCTAAGAACAGTTTGAGCACTGTGTCTTTTATACACTACATATTGGTGTTTCAGGCTTCCCCAAGCTGAGATGCACAGCTGTTCATCCACTGCCAGGATTACTGGCAGGGGAAAGTGATACAAAAGAGAACAGATATGTTTTTAATATCTCGTGATTTCAATGCAAATGGCTAAAGAAATACCTGAGCACTCAGCTGCAGAGGAGTTGTGCTGTGAGTGTTTTGTCATGGGAATGTCACACAACTGCCCCACTGGACTTGGGTTCAGTAACTTGGGAAGCTTTGCCATTGCCACTCACTGCTTTTCCATGAAACAAATCTGTGATGGTGGCTTGTTATGGAGAACTAACAGTAATGATTTAATAGCACATTGTTAGTGAGTGAAATGGGATTAAAAACTTGCTGAGATGTATTCCTAAGGGATTTCCTTTTCTGTGTTAGAGTTATGATCCTTGCCATACAGGGTAATTATGCATTCACAGCAAATAGGAAAACAAATGAGGGTTTCAGCTTTGAAATCATTCTTGTGTGAGTCTATTACTAATTTACCTCTGAGAATCATAGTTCAGGAAAGAAAGACTGAACAGTATTGGGACCACAGTTTTCTCTGGGTTTCCAGTAGATTTTTATAGCAGCATATCTAATTCTGTTCCTTCCAACTGGGGCTGCTGTATTGTTGTAATACAGTCCAAAGACAGCAGCAGTCTACTGACCAACCAGAACATGAAAATAGTTCAGGTCTAGGGAATACCATTGGTTAAGTGGAGTATAAAGGTGAAGACTGAAGTATCCAAATATAGAAAATAGCTATAGATGCACTACTATGATAAGGCAGATATTTGTAAAAAGCACATAGTAATGCCACAGCCTGAGTAACAGTTTGCAAGTCATGAGCAAAAATTAGGAGAAGTTAATAAATTTAGGGGTTTTTATCTCATCCCTAAGCCTTCGAGGTCTGATGGATTCCACTGTAATGCTCACTGTCAGAGAGATTTCCTTCTTTTTTTAGTAGAAGTGTGTCCAAAATAATTCTTTTCCTGCCAGAGCCGTGAGATTAAATAAACTGAGCATGGTAATAAAGTGAAAACACTCCAAACACTGGCAACTATAATGGTACTTCTTTTCTGTTGGTGCCCCTTTGAGTTGCTAGAGACAAATCCTAGGAAGGCTCCTGCACTCTTCCACGGACATGATTTGAGCTGCTGAACAGTTTTCCCTTTCACAGAATTTCCTGTTGCTAGCATTGCTGTGGGAAAGTGTGTGGCTGCCTGCTCTGCAGTCCAGGCAGGGATGCATGTAGAATGATTTGTCCAGGAAATCAAAGAACTTCACTCCAGAGGAACAGCTCCTCCTTCTTTGCTCATGCCCATCTCCCCGTGTCGACTCCTGGGAGATGAGCCTGGGTAAAGTCTGCAGGATTTTGCCTGAAGTGAGGATCATGCATGAAGAGGTATGCACACTGTATTGTATCACTGGCCTGCTGATACAAAGCTTCAGCTCAAAGTGCAGTGAAATAGTTCTGCCAGGACAACTTTATATCTCTATTTTTCATTCTTTTGGAAATGCCCAGTTGTTACTCATCTGAAATTTTGCCTGGGCATGTTTTGAAGACTTGGTTAGTTTGCAGGACTATCCTTGTCTGTGGTATCTGTGTTCTCCACAGCATGTAAGGAGATTCTTGAAAACCACTGTACTTCCAGGACTTCTGCTTTATAGTTGCACCACACATTTACAACAGAGCCAAGATCTCCTGCAAGTGCCAAGCTGTGCTTTACCCACTTGCAATTCTGATTTTCTGGAAGATCCTCATTGATAGATTATAAAACTAATTTTTCGTACTTGGGATCAAAATGTTAAATGTTTTCTTCAGTCTGTGCATGCATATTTGTGTTGGCAAAACTGCCAATCCAAAACTCTTGGTAAGCATTCAGCACACACCAGGTGTGAAGCTTGTTTAGGGGCATAGATTTCATTATGTGAAAGTGCTTTGATTTATTTTCTTTTAATGGTCAGAATTGGTCAGAATTTACAATATACCATTGTGTAAAACAGCCCCGCTAATTCTACCCTAGAAAATAAAGAAAGTCTTCACAGGCACTATATATTTAGGAACAGCATTTTAAAATGACATTTTGTGTGTGTGTGTTTGCACATGCACACACGTGTGTGCTTTGTATGACTGAGTGTTGCTGTCTGTGACATGCTTCCAACATTTTCCAGTGTCATGGACACAACTAAGAAACATTGGAAAATCATCTACAAAGGTTGAGGACTAACAACCTCCATGTTATCCAGATGGTTATCTTCTTTCTGAAAGAACATACTGTCATTATAAATACCATATGCATCTTGTTCTCACCCAACAGAACTCTTTTACAGTTTGTTGTTTTTTCAGATTTGAAGGATTTCTGCAAGGAACCATATTAATTTGTTTTCATGTAAGGTGAATGGAGGCACCAACTGAGACGGAGGACACAACTTGCCATCAAAAAATAAATGTCTGATGACAATCATTCTTGAAGCAAATTTTCAGAGAGCTATCCATTCACAACACTGCACCTTTTTTGCAAATACAAGAACCTTGTTTGCTGCTGCTTCTCGTATTTGTTGGCTATCACTGCTATCCCTTTGCTTGTAAAACCTGGGTTATTCTAATGAACAGAAATGATGACTTGAATTTGGGTAATGCTTATGATATAATCTATCCATAGCAACAGTGTCACCTGGAGAATTAATGCTACAAGTGGATAACATTACGCTACTTGAAACCAATAGCTCTTCACACAGTAGAAGACTGAGGGTCCTATTCAGCAAATAGTCAGGGTCCCATGGCTGTGGCCACAGAGGTTCCAGAAGCTCTCGCTGAGTCTAATCCTGATTCAGGAACCAAAATGATATGCTGTGTATGTATTTCTCTGCACAGCCTGGATGCGCTGGACACCCTCCCCCACTTGATTCCTGGGAAGGAAAAAAAAAAGTCTCTGTTTAGCTCAGTGACATGAAAAGCAATCGACAGTAATGAAATCTAAAGAAGTTAGCCAGGCATGTATGAAAAGAACAGGATGCCTGTAAAAAGGGAAGAGCTGTCAAAACCTAATTGTGGGCTCTGGCTGCAATGAAACTTATCAAAGAGGGAAGACAGGTTGGATATAAGGATGTAGACAACTTCTGCTAAGAGACACTTCTTGTACTCTGGGCAATAGTTACCATTACACTACTCCTTGTGCGCTGTGTCAAACCATTCCTATCAGTGCTTGGCCACAGCTGAAAGCTTGGTGAGGTGTTTTCTAAACCCAACTCCCAAAGGCCCAGGGCAGCATTTCAAGTGTGGCTCCTTGGCCAGTAGCTAGCTTGCCACTGGGGGCACAGACATATAGGCAGATCTCCCCCACTTAGCTCCATCTTCTTTCACAGAGAGTTGCACCCGTGCTGTGACAAGGCTTGGTGCCTTCCCACTGCCACACAGCCTGTGAGCACTCACAGGTCTCTGCTGAAACTGCTGCCACAGTCCCCAGACACCAGTAAATAAAATTGGTACGGGCACAGGGCAATACCGTGGTATTCTTCCCAGTTTGTAGCATTTTCCTGTTGTCCAACAATTATTTATGGAACTGCCTAGGGTCAGTGCTCACAACCAAGTAGGTAAATCTTTAGTTGCATTCTAGTAACCTGGTTGCACTCTGATGCACAAGGTGTACTCAGAGAGGCTGCAAACTGCCTGTCTCCATGTGTTAGGTGCTCAAGGCATCATTCTTGGCTTGATATGGATACTATGGCCCTTCCTGTCTTTTAACATTGGGGATAGTGCTGTGGCTGTTCATAAACATGATAGTTTCTTTAGACAGGGATTACTGCCTGACTTTAGCCAGTGAGAGCAACAATAGAAATAAGTCATGGTAACTATTAGGAAGCAATTTAGTTAGATCTTTGATGAATTTTTGTGTCTCATGAATCAGGATTAGTGTTCCCTGTATTGGGGAGAGGATTAGACAGAGGGATTAAAAGGACATCTTTACCCCACTGGACTCTGTGGAATAGCCCCTGAGGATATGGCTAAGAAAGAGTTCAACAGGAATG